TTCCACGTTGTAGGCTAACATAGTTATTTTATATAAATACTAAAAATGAACAGTGGAAAATTAAACCCTCTGGCCTCCAATTTAACTGTTGGAGTTGGGGCTGGGGATTTAGCTCAGCGGCATAAGTGCCTGCCTTGAAAGCAGGCAGTCGTGAGTTCGATCCCTGGTACCAATAAAAAGGAAAAAAAAGACAAAAAAAAAAAAAAACTGTTGGAGTTACTGCCTTTTTCATCATAGTAAATTGTATTTTTAAAAAAGAAAATATACTAAAGGCTATTTTTTTTAGAAGAAAACATTAAGACTTTGTAATCCTTAGCAATTGTCATATTATTATAAAGACAGCTCAATATAGCCATTAAATTTTCCTTTTTTGAAAATAAAAATAAGAAAAACTAAATAATGAATCTGAAATTATTACATTAAAAATCTTAAGAAAAATTTTCAAATGTGAAAGATTTAAAATAAAATAGGTTTACTAAGTTTAACCGCTAACTAGTAAATGGACATCAAATTCAATTGCATTTTAGGACAGTTAAAAAGTGATCTCTCTTTTAAAAAGTAACTATGATTAGGGTAGGATCTTCAAAATCATTTTATATTTTTCCATAAACACATAATTCTTCCCAAATATACCTTTACCTAATATATAAATATTAGAACTGGTCAAATACATTCAAGTGATGACTCCACGTAATAAAACCTTTCGTTTCCATTTTTCAATCTGACATGACAGAAATCATGCCAAATTTCTAATTGAAAAACACTGTAAAACAAAGAATATTGTTTTCGACAAATGATACTGGAACAATTCATATTAATTCAAATGTAAAAGTGACTTTGCCCTAAACCTCACACCTTGTAAAAAAAAAAAAAATTAACTCTAAATGTATCGCTGATATAAATATAAAACTATAAAACTACTCAAGAAAACATGGAAGAAAATCTTTGTAACCTGGGGTTAAGCAAAGAATTCTTAAGTATGTCATCAAATAAAACAAATCATCTTCATCAAAATTAGCCACCTCTGCTCTGTAAGCCGTATTTGACAGATCAGAAAGTCAAGCACAAACTGGAAGAACATTATCTACAAGAACATACATTCTGCAAAAGTGTCATAACCACAATATATATGAAGAACTCTCAAGTGCAAAAATGCAAAAAAAGTAAAAAATGACAAAAAATACAAACTGACATTTAACCAAGGATTACATAACCATGATATAAACATACGTAAGAAGATACTCGTTACCAGCTGCCATTAGGGAAATGAAAATTAACACCATGAGAGAGCACTATACATCCATTAGAATGTTTAAAAATTTAAAACACTGACCATACCAAATGCTGTTTCACAAAGATGCACAGCAATTCTTATATTGCTGGTGGGCATATAAAATAATACAATCATTATGAAACATAATTGGACAATTTCTTACAGAGTTAAATACACATTCATGACCATAATATCAAGCAATTATACTTCAAATATAAAAACAAATGTCTATGCAAAAACAAACCTATGTACAAATTTTTGTAGCTGTTCTGCTCATAACTGCCACTAATGGAAAATACCCAAATGGAATACTACTCAGCAATAAAAAGAATGAGCTACTGAAATACTCAAAAGTATGGATGAATTTTAAATGCATTATGCCAAATGAAAAGCCAGATTAAAAAGGTTATACACTATATGATAGCATTTATATGCCATTCACAAAAAGACAAAATGACATAGAACTAGTAGGTACCAAAAGTTACAGATCGGGGAAACAGAAGTAACAAAAGCAAGAGGGACTTTTTGTTTTATTTTGGTTGGTTTGCTTTGGTTTTCTGAATGACAGACTTGTTCTAAAAATAGTTTATGGTAAGTGACCACGATGATGTATAAATGTGCCAAAATTCATAAAACTACATCAAAAGAAAAAACTCAGTTTCATCAGAACAATTTTTAAAATAAAAACCTTTCATGCAAACAAAATACACAGAAATAGAAACTAACAAGAACTCTAGCTTAGTAGTACTCAGCAAACCAGATCAACTATTTGGTTATTGTCAGAGTGCTACTTGAGAACTCACTGTACCTGGTCCCAGGAGGTGTGGTATCACCAGCACACGACTACACCAAACAGACTGTTTTACTTGGAAAACGGAGAACCGCAAGGCAGTAAACACTGATGAGTTCTAGCTTCCGCTTTGCATAGCAAACAAATGACAAAATCTTCTGGTAAAAGTGCAAGTACCAATTCACAGGTTTCTAAGAAGGTTAGTCGCAAAGTATGTCTGCACTATTACATTTTGTAGGATGTATGGAAGCGTCTTATCCTAGTAATATTTGAAGGATTGTAAGAACCTGTCAAAAAGACATAGAGCTAACTAGAGAGTCAGCAGGCACAAGCAAGCACTTCCTAAACAATCCCGACAGCACAAGAAATAATACTGAGAATCAACAAGTGAGATCACATAAAATTAAAAAACTTCTGCACAACGAAGGAAACAATCAACAAAGTGAGGAGACAACTACAGGATGGGAAAAAGTTCTTACCAACTATCCCACAGCTGGAGGGTTAATATGAAGAATGAAAGGACTAGACTCTTCTCACAAGGAGCACAAAAGGTCAATAAATACATGGAAAGTGTTTATCATCACTGATCATAATAGAAACGCAAATTAAAACTACACTAAGATAGCATCTTACACCAGAACGGTCATCATCCAAAAATCTAATAATGCATGCTGATAAGGATGTGGGCAAAATGCAGTTCTCCTGCATCACTGGTGGGAACATAAACTAGTACAATCACTCTGGAAATCAGTGAGGAGATTCGTCAGAAAATGAAAGATAGAAATTTCCTTTTGACCCAGTTATCCCCCTGCTACTCACCTCCCCAAGAGAGTTAAAAGCAACATTGGCACAGGTACACAGCCATGCTCATGTTTACCGCAGCATAACTTATAACAGCAAAGTCTTGGGAATAGCATGTGTATCCATCAACGGATGACAGGATAAGGAAAATGTGGTATCTATATACAATGCAATGTGTCAGCAAACAAATAAACAAGGCATTCAAAGATAAAGGATATAATCTGAGCACACAATGTTACACACATCATGCACACAAGCTCAAATGCTGCATCCTTCCTCTTCTATGAGGACTCCCTCCCACACACACAGAGCAAGAGAAGAGAGCTACAGAGAAATGGGAAGTTAAACACTCCTCTAAATTATGTATTTTGTGGTTTTTAAATGTATCCTAATTGGTTTAATTTATACTAATAGTTTATTCCACTTCGTTAAAAAGAAACCTTGTGTTTTTGTTTCTTTTTCTGTAACAATATTTTTGATTTATGTTTTGTACTAAGTAACTAATTTGAAAAAGATACATAGTATAACTATTGTTTTTCTATTATTTATGAAAACATTTTTTCATAAAATAAAAAATGAAAAAGAAATTAAAAATGTGATGAGTAGGATATTTATACAGCATTAAAGCATTTTCTTGCAAAACTCTTACAAGTTAGAAAACAAAAAGAAAGCTAACTTTGCAGTTAAGAGGACTGGCTGATACCATCTCAACCACGTGGTCAAAATAATCATCAGTAATGAAAGAATCAAAACTGTATGCCATATGATAAGATACAATGAGAACATGGTATCATTTCCAAGATATTCCTCACAATGATGAATAGCCTTAATCTAATTATATAGAAATATCAGACAAACTCCTATCATGATCTGGACTCTTTCTGGTTTTTTTTTTTTTTTTTTAACTTATTCTTTTAACCCTTATATTCACTATAAATTTAAAGATATTAAGGAATTTATTAAATTCAAGTTCAAAAATTTTTAACACAATATCTTTCAATTTACAGGCAACGTATAAGAGAAACAAATTTAGCGATCCCAAAATGAAACTAGTTGACGGTGTATTCTTCAAGATTGGCCTCATCTCTTCTGTAACGCTATGTATTTCCCAAAAAAGGATAAATTTTGAAGGGAGGTACTCTTTCAGATTACATGAGACTTAAGAGATAAAAATAACTGAAAGATATCTTCTTTAACAGGAATGTGGCTTGAAAAAAGCGGTCAAAAGATAAGCTTTTGATAACAGGCAAATTTTTAATTTGATCTGAATATTAGATACTGTTGGGAAAGTGATTACACTTACATTTATAAGGATTAGAGGTCGCAAAGTTACTCTATCTATAACATACTTTAAAACTATTACACAAAAATGTTTGCAATTGCTGGACACCATGGTTCACATAATTCTAGCATTCTAGAGCTAAGGCAAGAGAATCACAACTTTGAGTCCTACCTACCTGGGCAACTTAGCAAAACTCTGCCCTGTCAGTACATAAATGTGGTGTAATTCCTTAGCTATGGTTCATTTTTCACTCCCACTTGGAGTGAAACTGCCTCCACTTGTAACCAATTTCTCTCCTTTCATTCTGTTGAATACAACCCATGCAAAGCTTTCACCACCCCACTCTTCCAAACCTGTTTTAGTCAATTTCACTGATGACTTCTATGTTGCAAAACGGTTCATCAGGGATCGTCTTCATCATTTCACCGTCAGGACCACCAAGCACCCCTATACTCTCTCCCTGAAATTCTTTTTTACTTTGCCTTCCCAAACAAACTCCTCTCCTGATTTCCCTGTGACCGCCCTCCTCTTAGGGCCTTGGCTATTTCTCCTCCATGACACCAGATTGCACCAACACTCAGCCATCTTTTCTGTACCATGTACATTTGGATCTGATTCAGTATTGTAGCTATCAATAGCATCTTTGCTCTGATAAGTGCAGAATTTTTATATTCAGCTCTAGCACTCCATAACACACATCTCTCTGTCTAGGCAGTATCTCTGCTTGGATGCTCATTACGTATCCCTAAGCACACAGGTTCAAAACTGTTCCTTTTATGTACTATCCCTTCTAGAGTCCTCCCCATCTCAGCGAGCCGTCCCTCCATCTTTCCTGTTGCCCAGGGCAAACAAACCTTGGAGTCATCCTGGACTCTTCTTCTCCCACAGTCCACTTCTGATCCATCAGTAAATCCTGCCGTCTCCACCTTCAAAACATATTGGAATTTTCGCTCACCACTTCTACGGCTACACCCCAGTCCACACCACCACCAGATCTTCCCAAAGCACTGAAAATGCCTCCTTAGGGACTTATCAGCTTCCAAAGTTGCCTCTTAAAATTATGTTATAATCACAGCTGTTAAGATGATACCTTAAAGGGGTAAATGAGATGTTTAACCTAAAAGATTCCAAAATGTCCCATTTTCTCCAGTTTCTCATGATGATTAACAAACATCTTATTGAAGGGAATGTCTTGTATCTGACACTTCAGCCTCCACTATTCTACCTCCTACTGACTCCACACTACATTCAGACGTGGTGCTAAACACTAAACCTAAAAATGCAGGGAAGTAAGGGATTGCTTTATTTTGTACTGCTTTACTTGTATGTGTGTATGTATATATTATTACTATTACATCTGTCTCTGGGAGTAGAAAACCTTTAACAGGCAAGTACCTCATTAAACTTTTACAGATGTTCATGGACTTTCTTTTGTGCAAAATGAGCTGCTAAAAATACAGATGGACACAGAATTTATTTTCTTCCTGGATGGCTTTTCAAATCAGTGGGAAAAATAAAGACAAGGCAATAAATGCTGCAGTAATAGCAAGCTAATATTTTGAAAAGAAAAGCTAGATCTTTATAATGTTCTTTTAAAAATTCCATTACACCGGGAAGGAACAATTAAAAAAGATAAATTAACAAATGCTTTGTTTTGGTCTACATGGTAGGAATGAAGCCCAGGTCTCACACATGCTACTTATGACCAGGACCTGCACTACCACTGAGCTGCACCCGTGGCTTCTTGTAGTGCATTTTTAACTTCATAATTTGAAAAGCCAGATAGCGAAGTTGGATACTGTAATGCAGAGAATGACAGATTTGTTTCTATAAAAATCCAAAACCTTTTAAAAGCCACTATTATTAAAACTAAAGTAGTTCACAAGCTAGAAAAACTTCCCATCCTAAATATACAAATCAACAACAAATAAATGAAAATGGAACATATAAAAATATATTCAACCTCTAACGTAATCAAAGGATACAAAGGAAAATAGTGAGCTTTATCTCTTAAGTTACATAATTAGAAAAATTAAGCAATAGATAACATGCAATGAGCTATCTCACTTTTGAAGAGGTTGTGTTTTTGCCCTGTTTTAGACAAGAATTTAGAAACAGGCATTGGAGATTTACAGTGCCTATTTTTTAATCCAATATATTCACTAGCAAATATTTATCCTTAGAATTCACACAAAAATGTTACTACTAAATTCAAAATAATGAAAATAGTCTGCTGATTAAAACAGCTTTATTCATTTGTTGAATTTTGGTATATTCATACAGTGGGAGTTTATATAAAGACATTTTCAGAAATCTCTTCTAAATACAATGAACCTGTAAACTACCCAGCTGCAGGAGTGTGCACACCTGTAACCCTAGCTGCTCTGCAGACTGAGGACGGAGGAGGAATGAGGCTCGAGGCCAGCCGGGGTGAGTTTGTGAGATACGAGCTCAAAATAAAAGGGGTCGGGCAGTTAGCTCAGCGGCAAAGCACGCTCAGGTTCAACCTCCAGGACAGATGCCGACTGACAGAGAGACAGATGGACAGACAGACAGACAGACAGATGACCAAGGAAAATGGTTACCTATCGCCCTTTGGTTTTCTTTTCTGTAGTGTCTTCCCTTTGGGCCTTCTCTCACTTCCCAGGCAGGGAGTCCCGCCAGGTCCTGTTACCCGTAGTGATTCAAGGCCTTTGGAAGATTTTTTAAAGGTGAATTCCACTGGTTCTCCTTCCTTCAGGCTTCTAAATCCTTCCATGAATAGTTTGCTCTGTGAACAGTAGGGAAGCAATAAAGAGAGAAAGGGATCATTATTACCAATGCATTATAAATTATCTCTTTAGAGATAATATCAGGATTAACTTAAGATATTTTGTTATCCACTAAAAAGTATAGTCTTTTTTAAATTCCAGCCTGTATCACTTTACTCTTTCAGTTATAATGAGGCAGAGGGAGAGTACACTGATAATATTTTTCAAAGACAACTCGGCAATACTTAAAAAAACTTTTTAAATTTAAATATGTATATTCTCTGATTCAACAATTCTACTTCAACAGTTCTATTATAGATAAATTAACACAAAGGTTCAAAAAAAGATATCATAGCATTGTTTGGTAAAGTAATGTCCATTTAATCTCCCTGATTATATAAATTAGAGCCATTAACATTACTAAGTCATTTAGGTTCTTTTAGATCTATATGCACTCATATGAGAAGATGAACATATAATACTGCTACACAAAAGAAATTAAAATTAAAAAACAAGGAGTCTATCACATTGCCATCTATTGAAGTTTTAAAAACATTCATGTCTGTTTCCAAAGACAGTGTCTGGAATGAGATATTATATCACAGTAATTTTCTCAAGTCCTTCTGAAAAGGCATGGAACTTTTTTTTTTTCCTTCCTTCCTTCCTTCCTCTTTTTTTGTGCCAGGAATGGAACTCAGGACTTTGCACTTACAAGGCAGGTGCTTATGTCGCCAAGCTATATCCCTGGCCACAAATTTTTCTATGTATTGCACTTATTGAGTTTTTTATGAGAGGAAATAAAACTGATTTCTATAATTTGAAAGATAGTTTATTATTTGAAAAAAATCGCCAATTACAAAATTGTAACTTCAATTTCAAATGTTTATTGGCTCTTTCAATCCTAATACAAGCAATAATTAAATCACTGACGTACTTCCTCCAATCCCTTTGTGCACACTTTACACATCTGATTTAGAATAGCCTGGAGTTTATACAGGTTTTTCTGAATTTTGGGAGTGAAAAGGAAGGAATCACAACACAGCAGAAGATCTTAGTTCAAGCCCAGCTTAGATGTAGCTCTGAACGAACCACTTAATTTCTCTTCTGTTTATCTTCTTAACTATCTCTTCCCACTGTAATGGAGCTTTTTAAAGAGGATTATAAATGTTTTCTTTTTAAGCAATATGAATTCTGAGTAACAATAGATCTGAAAAAGACCACAAAAACACCATTTTGTGATCAAGTAAGTTTGTGAAATGCTATGTTTTTTTCTCTGTGGATTACTCAAATTAGCATATTAGTTTCAAAAATGTCCTCCCCTACCACACTGCCATCAGAGTAAAACTCTTATCTGTGTCTAACCCAGCAATTTCCTAACTTAATTGATCCCAGAGCCCTTCCTTTAAAAGTACAAATGACCAGAGCACTGAAGCAAACACTTCCAAAAAAGTCTTCATTCCTCCCTAGTCCAAGATTCCAAAGGCATCTGCTCTGGGTTAGGTAGGGTTCGTCCCCAGGGGTCTCTGTTTCGGAAGCTCAGCCCAAGGAGGCAGCACTGGGAAACAGGCGGGGCTGTGAAGAGGGAAGGCCCAGCGGTAGCTCTTTAGAGCCATCAGTCGCGTGGGACACAGTCTCTATCAGCTTGCTGTCCTATGATGTGCCTAGCTTTTTTTATATGCGTTCCTCTGTCCCTGGACCTTCACCAGTGGTTGGTCCAAGAGCTTAACTCACCATCTCACCCACAGACTTTGAACCTCTGAACCAAAAACTAAATAAACCTCTTTTCTGTATAAATTAGCCTAACATAGATATTTTTAAAAAACTAACCTAAGAGCAGCTAAGAACACTCGTACTCCTTATCCAGTTTTGCATTCCAGAGTTTGAATTAGCCGAGGCCAATGGCAGTCAAAAAATATTAAATAGGGAAATCTAGAAATTAACAATGTATAAGGTTTGAATGACAACATTCTGGAGTGGGTGAAATCCCCAGCCGTCCTAGCCTGCCAGTGACATGACTGGGCCTTCATTTACGTATCCATTCTGAGTAACACCACCTTCCCACTTAGAGGCCACCTTGATTGTCAGATCGACTTGGAATATGACAGTGTTTGTGTTCATGGAAACCTGATTTTACTCCATAATAGCCCCCAAAGACACAAAGAGTCATGATGGCAGTCAGATATGCCAAAGAGAAGCTGTAAAGTAATTAAATAAAAAGGTGAAAATTCCAGATTTACCAAGAAAGAAAAAAATTACAAACTGAGGTTTGTAAGATCTATACTAAGAACAAATTTTCTATGCATGAAATTCTGCAGAAGGTAAAAGAATCCATTTTAGTTTTGCTACTGTGCCCCCATGTGTAGAAGTTAAAGCCACAGTGCATAGCGAGGGTGGAGAAGGCATTGTATTTGTGAATACTTTAAAGAAAAAGCACAGCATACACATGATTTTGTACACAACGTTTTCCCTACGAGGTCCTTGGTTTAAGGCATCCACTGGGGATCTTGGAACATATACTTCAAGATAAAGGGGGAGTACTACACTGTAAAGAACCTAAATTATTACATGGAATGAATAAAAACACTTCAAAATTTAATGCCAAACAAAACTTCATTATAAAAGTAATACGACACATGAACACAGTTATTATCTGTTTCAGCGCAGGTCACCTGACATAGTGAAATTCATACAGAACTCCAATTTGACCACACTATTTCTGCTATTTGATGAGATGCAGAAGAAATGTACAACTACCTACACTCTTTAAAATAATATAGCAAATAAATCCTCATTTTAATGCTGTCCTAATAATTACAAAGCATCTTATTTCACTAATTGTAAGTAATTTTTTTCTTTAATTTTCTTTCTTCCTTCCCACTCAGTAAAATGCAACTTATTTCTTTTAATTCAGATGAAGCACAGTATAGCTCAGACTGAAATTATGAGAACAAAGAAAATGCCGTATTAATTACAGCTTTTGTATTGCTCATGTGTTTTTTTCCAAAACAAAAATTGTACGATATTTCCTCAGTAGTTCCAAATATACAGATACATTTTTACCAACTTCGATTTTATTTTCCTTTAGTAAGACTATTACAGATTATTGGTAAGTGAACTGCTTTTCCAAATCTAAAGAAAAAAATCTGGCTCTTCTAGACCGCTGAGTTCTGGACACTGATCATGATATTCTGAAAGGAATTTTTTTTATCCCCTCCATACAAATTACTACAAAGATTCATAATAATAAATATACTTGTTAAATATAGTGGTTTTTTTAATAAAAAGAACTTATAAAGTACTCTTCCTTTGTAATTATACCAAAATAACTGCAATCCATGTGGTGAAAATTTCCTGAAAGGTGAGAAATTTGCTGATTATATCTGGTTACAGAAATCAACTTTTTCTCTTGGTCTGCCCATTTTTATTAATTAAAAGTCCTCCATTTTCCTAGTCACTCTGATTTCAAGTCTTAGTTTTACTTACATCACCTGTTAAATCGTGTGTGTTTTCTGCCCCCTGCATCTCATACTCAGCCCAGCAGGCACCTTCTGTCAGTTTCAGCACTGACGTGTCAGCAGCAAGACCCTCCTAAACTGCAGGGCCTTCCATATCCGCAGATTCTCCTTACATATTCACCTATTAGGCTCAACGCAAAAATCCACCAGAGGATTGTTAAGATTATGGATGCCATTCGTTACCATCTTGCCCTGACTTACACTTTCCATTTCTTTCCCCGTTGCTCTAAAACATAATCTCTTTTTTACTAAAACTGGCCGACTTGCATTTTCCAGGTTATCGTAGCTCTGTACTCCACCTTATCCTGATCAGACACAGTCTCTTACTTGTGGCTGTCAGAGTTTTATTCAAGCACTGGCCAAATGATCTCATGCTTTCCTCTTTTACTTGATTTTTCCATATAGCTTTTATAGTGCCCTGCTGTGTAAACACTGCAAGTATTTGTATCTGTTTTACATCTCACTTCTTCTTTTGAACTTATCTTGTTTTAAAGACTAGGGAAAAGTGATAGGTATCTTAGTTTACCCAAAGTGCTCAAGTAATGATTGCAAATACTATCACTCAGGAAGTACTTAAAGGAACTCTAGATTTAGTGTCAGGAGTAAAGTGAGGAATATTAGTCTAACTCTCATGAGAGAAACATTGAACTGAGTCGTAAAAATCAAATTTTCTGGCTTCTATTTATAAAGTAAATTTTTAGTTTTAATTTTAGGTGTACTACATACGGTTTATCTGGAAGAAAATGTGAGCACATTACAATAGCTCAAGGCAGAAATACTATCCTCTGCTCTTAGAAAGAGCTTATGTTCCTTGCTCTTCCTGCTGCCCAGTTTTCCTAAGACAACATCACGCATATCTGGCACACTTCACAATCCGTAATATTCCAACCACCTGATGAAAGAACACATAGTGATGACTTTTTTTTTAACTTACAGATGAAATCTATAAGGCAGACTTTTGATATTTTAGGCTTACATTTTTCTCTAAACCGCTTATTTGGACAAAACAGAAAATACTCTGTAGGAAGCACAACTATTAGATGTATAAGTGAACAAAAGAATGATTGACATTTACAAGAAACTTTTCACGTATCTACCAAGGTAGCATGTTTTCACTGTGGGACAGGTCACTCCCAAAGGTGCACAGCAGCTGGCTCGTCTAACACCTCTGGTTTGTACTCCTCTTCTAACCAAGTAAGGTTCTCTTTTCTCCTGCTTCTCTTTATTTCAGTTTTTAAAATGTCATTCTGGCTCAAATATATAACCAAGACATAAAAATTCAGGCTTTCCGTTTTCCTGCTAAATTCCTGTTCCTCTGCTCGACTGTTTAGAAGAATACAAGGGACACGGAGTCAGTGAGAACAGTCCAGATCTACACATCTAGCAGGCCTTCAGACCGTCAAGGCATTACCAATTCTAGGCCTGCCTTCAGCTGTCCCACTAGACCACGCCACTGAATGCTGCTACGACTGAACATCTGATGCTGCTTGGAAAATGAGAATACA